TTTAGTTAAATTATGGGTCTAGATGCAAAACTTCACAGCGGGGCCTTGAGAGCCTGACCATGTCCTGCTTTCCTGTGTGCACACAAGTGCTCACCCCCCCTAGACACACACACACACACACACACACACACACACACACACACACACCCCTACACACATCTTCCCAGAGGGATACCCTAAATGTTGTATTCCTTGTCCTGAGGGGTACAAGGCTCTTGAATAGGTCCTTAGAGTCCCCGATAGTGTAAAACACTTCAAAATAAAAGTTCCCTGCAGTCCTCCACCGAAACCCCCAACTGAAGGAAGTCTAAGATTAACTACCTGGAGATTTTGGGCCTTGAGTTCTCAGTGGCTTTTCCATCTCAGTGCACGGTGGGAGCCAACTGCAGCCCCTGATCATCTTGCTGTGCAGTCGCCAGTGTTGGAGACCCCCATGTGGAGACTGCTGATGTCCAGGCTGCAGGAAGATGACACAGGTCATTCATTCACTGGTGGAAAGGATTTCTCATTACTCAGATGAGCGTAGATCCAGAGACCAATACATACCAGTGCATTCCTGTTCACCTTTTCCAAGGTCAGAAGAAGGTTCAAATGTGGCAGGCTATTGGATAGTTTTGAGGAAATAGAAGCCAAGACTTACATGGATAGAATAGAGCTACCCTAAGCCCACACCAGCATGCTTTATTACATGTGAGCACACACATGTAATACAAACCTACACACAGACATTACATGCATGGTGCTTATGTGAATGTGAAGATGTCTGTTTAATTCCACGGGGATCCTGAGCACAGTATCCCAGCCCTCTCCGCTTCCTGCCCTCCTCAGTAGCTATGGAAATGGAGGGAAAGAGAGCGAAGACTATGACTGCAGGTCCTCTGCCTCCCTCGTCCCTCACCAGAATGCAAATCACAGAGCAGTCTACAGTCCATTTGGTGGTAATGGTGTCAGGATTCCCCAAGCAGATCACCCCATTGTCCACCTGTCCACTCCAGGGGCCCTCGGAGGAAAGGTCACGATGTACAGGCCACTGTCCCCTGGCTGTTCTCCCCTCTCCTAAAGCACATCTTCCCTCTGGCCTTTTCATGTCTGGAAGTCTCTAATGAAACTAGTTTCTTTTTTTTTTTTTAAAGATTTATTTATTTATTTGTTTGTTTATTTAATGCATATGAGTACATGGTAGTTGTCTTCAGACACACCAGAAAATGGAATCAGACCCCATTACAGATGGTTGTGAGCCACCATGTGGTTGCTGGGAATTGAACTCAGGACCTCTGGAAGAGTAGTCAGTGCTCTTAACCTCTGAGCCATCTCTCCAGCCCAACTAGTTTCTTTTTTAGTGTTTGGTGAGGAGTGAGAGAGAACCCTTGCTTATCTAGGCCGGATCCTACAGAGGATGTTTTAGTAACTCAGATGTTTTGGTGCATTGTCCAGGGCCTGGATTTTCTCATCCTTTCCAAACGGGAAGGGTTTTAAAGGCTTTTGGGGGAGACCGTGTGGATTTATAGCTGGTTGCCTGTCTCTGTGTTTAGGACTCTGTCTTGGCATGCTCACAGCTGCCTGGCAACGGTGGAAGGGGTATGAAGAGATCTTTTCATTTAACCAGTTGCTGAGCTCCAGTAGTTTGGATGAAGACAGGGTGGTCGTTTTTTTCTTCTCTGGGTTTCCAAGAATGTTTGGAATCTAGGTAGGGCCTCAGCCCTATGTCGCCTTTCTCTAAGCAGTGAGGAGACCACAGGGTTTCTTCCATGGACGGTCCTATGAGAGGTACTTTGAGGCTTCCACTAGGATATGTCTGAGGTTATCTTAACATTTCTTTACAGATACCTAATTACTTGGTTGGAGTTTACAAAAAGAAAAGAGAAAGGGGAAAGAGAGGAACCCAAAATTAAACCATAGGATCATCAGATTTCACACAGAGATGCTAAAAAGTGCTTTTGAAATCACTGAGGTTTAGGATGGGATGATAGGAGTCGATTCTTTAAAAGAAGCTATTTGTTTGGCATGTTTTTCTGCCATACATTTCTTTTTAAGTGTAAAGGATGAATTTACTAATTGACTCTGGGTTCAGTTACAGTGACCGTTTAGCTATCATCTTCAGCATGCCCTGCTAGACTCTTTGGCATACGATATTTAACCTGGGCCTCATGGGAGCTTGTGTGCTAAGCTAATTATTATATCTCCATATTATAGTGGATTGGATTCCACGGTCTCTTAGAGTGTACACTCCCATGCCTAGTACTTAATGGGTCTGTTGAGTGAATACATTAACAGAGTTAGGTTAGTAGAATTTGACCATCAGTAAGTATAGGAAGAGACTGAAATCTGAAGAGGGCCCATATTAGTCAGCTTTGTTCTTTGTTATGACTGAATGCAACTTGAGGGGGCGGGGATTTCCTATTGGCTTGAGGTTTCTGTTCATTTTAGTGGAGAGACAGCTTATAGCATGGTGACCTACAAACACTGTAGGGAGCATGGATGAGCATGAGAATAAACAAATGTGCCTTGGTTTGTTACCTTTTTCCTTTTCCTGCTTTTATTTCATTGGGCCCCTGGTCTTTAGGATGGTGCTACCTGTATCCAGGGCAGGTCTTTCTCCCTTAGTTTTGGCTCAGTACCTGTCAGTGGGTCGGTTGGTGCTAGAAATGACCTCAGCGGCATGCTTTAGTGATGTTTTTTAGCTCTCTCAGTCCACTAAAGTTCACAGTCAAGATGAACCGTTGCAGAACATTGATAGACTTTGACTCGTGGGGAGATCTTGATTTATCGGGAGGAGCTTAGGAATGGGTGAAACAGGAGATGAGTGTCAGGAGCAAGAAGAGGTCACAGCCAGGTGGCTCATCAAGAGAACCTTGCGTGTGGGTGCTGTGTGAATACTGGCTGGATCTTTTCTAGAATGTCCTCACATGTGATGTCCTCTCATCTTTAGTCACTGGAGAAGAGAAAACCAGTAAACCACAGTTTTAGATGAGTAGTGTTCCTATGTAGCAGGAGGAAGCAGTTGGCGGGACACGGCCATTAGGATAGCATCCACTTGAAACCGTGCAGAAAGCCCATTACCTGCTCTAGTTTGGGACCAGCCATTGGCCACGTGGCTTTACGTGCCCACCAGCAGCTTCCTGTTAAAAGCTGGAGCTTCCTGACATCTGGATGCCTCTTTCTGACTCAGGCAACCCAGTCTTGGACTCACGAGGGTTGGGTGGCAGGTGGGACTTTGTGGGCCACCTTGAAGAGTGGAAGAGAGAGAGGGAGCCCCATCTGGAGTCACAAGTGCAGTGAGACACCAAAGCTGGATTTCTAGTGTCTTTTCAGTTCCAGCATGTAAGCAGTGTGCCCTGATTGTACAGTGTGACCCCGGGTGATTTGTTGTGGATGATTTTGGTTTCGTTCATTCACTCATCGAATATTTTAAGAGACTTGGTAGAGACAGCTATACAGGAAGGTATGGCACCTGTCTGGTATTCTGCATCCAGCTATAATAAATAGCATAGATCACTTATTTATTTATTTACTATTTTAAGTCAAACTGATAATACTTTGTACCCACTAGACTTTCTTACTTTTTGTTAGTTTTCCTATTGTTTTATTTACCTTTTTTGAGACAGGATCTTGCTGTGGATTCCTGATATAGTCTAAAACTCTGTCCTCCTCCAGCTTCCTGAGTGTCATGCTCAGAGTTGTGTACCACCGTATCTGCCCTTTAGTTTTAAATTTTGACATCAAACCCCTACTAACATGTATTCCAACCTCAAGTTTCCCCCTTGGTTGTTTATTCGTCTTACAGGACTTGGTCTTTGCCCTAAGTAGTTTATATGATACGGCTTCCTTCTTTCTTTCCCGTGGAGCTGACAGGGGTCTAGAATGTGGGCCATATTCACACTCATTGAATTTCAGTGTTAGCTTCTGTTTGCCCAGCCCCTTTGGTGTTGTAGAGGTCCTGCAGAATCAGAGCCTGAACATTTGAAGGAGAAAGTGGTTTAGTGTGAATCATGGCCCACATGTGTGTATGAGCGGTGTCAGGTGACTTCAGAGGAGGTGAGACTGACATCAGGTTGGCTAGGACAGCAGATGGATATTTTGGAGTTAGAAGAAGGTCATGGAAACTTGGAAGATTGTTGCAACTTGCCATGGGAAGATCTGGGAGTGGAGAGGCATTCCAGGGAGAAAGACCCATGAGAAAAAAAGGTGTAGAAACCTGGGGATTCTTGGGGTGGGGCGGCCATAGGGTTGATCAAGGTGAGCAACAGGCAGTCCAGAGGGTAGAGCTTGCAGGGTGGTCCCTAAGTGCAGGGTCAGCACCTGGCTTAGCTACAGGCATAGACCAGCATGAGAACAGCTGAGCAGAGAAAGTCCACACCTCCTTTGATTGTGTGTGCATTTTTTTTTTTTAAAGTACTGGGGATTGAGCCAGGGCCTTGAGCATTTGAATCGAGAGCTATCTGTAGTCCTTATGTATTCCGTTAACAACCAGTTTATTAGTTCTTTGAGAACCCCATGCAACATGCTTTGATCATGTGCATACCCTCTCCCACAACTCTTGCCAACTCCACCCCCTTTTCTGCCCATCTGACTTTTTTTTTTTTTTAAACTCCATCAAGAGCAATTTCTGTTGCCCACATCTTTGTGGGCATGTGATCTTACTTGACAAGGTTCTGGCTACTTTCTGTTTTTCCATCTAGCTGTGTTTTGTTTGTGTCTCTTAGATTTTAAAATAGCCTGCCTTGGGATTTTTCTCCATATGCTAATGAAGCCATGTTTCATGGCCACAGAGGTCCTGGGGGCCCCTGGGCTGTCAAGAAGTTCCAGTCTATTCTGGCAGGCTGAATGCTTAAGATATGCAGAGTGGCTGACTCCAGCATCCTTAACTATCTAATGGTGTGGTCCATGAGGCTAGCTCAGGTTGCAAACTGCCTTCCTGGAAGACTATAGAGCAACGCTTGTTGAGGCCGTGCTTCTGATAACCCAGTTAACCCCTGTCTTCCTTTTGTCATCTCTTACAGATGGTCACAAGAACAAAGAAAATATTCGTAGGAGGATTGTCTGCGAACACAGTAGTGGAAGATGTAAAGCAGTATTTTGAGCAGTTTGGCAAGGTAAGTGCTGCACATGAGTGGACGGTACCCATCCACCGGTGTAGGTAGATTCTTGGATGCAGCTGCCTGGGACTCTGCTATAGCCGAAGCTTCTAGAACAGGGTCTTGAACCTCCCCATCAGTATTTATGTGAAACTCCAGGAGCCGCAGTGAAAGAGTCCGGCTTATGATTGGCGTGGTGCCTTGTGTGCCTGCAGGAGCACACAGAGTGGCCTTTCAGTACTGTTTTGCTGTCATTTGCCAGCCACATGGGGCCAGGACTGGGGAAGGATGTGGGGCTGTGACTCACAGGGCACAGCCGCCCACAGAAGCTGTGAGAGGTAAAGGCCTGTGGGCCCATGCTGGGATTGCTTCTTTCTTGTCTTTCTGGAAAATGACATTCAGAAGTAAGGGCCCCTGGGGCCCTTGGCAGCAGAATAGTCCCCTGTTAAGTACCCAAGGAGACTTGGGTAAGATGTTGGCTGTACCCATCATCTTTCTGACCTGAGTACTGAGGAGACAGTAGCAAACTGATGCCCTGAGGTCTGCTGTCAGGGCTAGGAGCCCTCGGTCAGGAACCAGAGGGTGAGAAGGTGCAGGGGATAGGTGGACAAAGAGGGTGAACATCCGTGGGTGGTGGTTTTGTCAGCTGCTTTCCAGTTGGTGAAAGAGAGGCAGTAGCCATCTCTTCAGATGTCATGCTGCCCCATGTTGGCCTTTGTGTGGTCTCCTTTCTCCAGCTCCCACAGAAGCCGTAGATCTAAAGCAGGCTGGCAGGTGAGTGGCTGAGCTGGCTCTCCACTTCCTGCTTCTTTTGAGTAATTGTAGGTGTTGTCATGGGAGCCCACGCATGGGATCAGTTCCTTCCATCATAGGTCTGTGTCTTCCCTGTTGAAAGGCTGACATGGCAGAGCTCTGTGGTACTCTGGGAAGGCACAGTGCCCCACTCTCTGCTCTTATTCCTTTACTCCCACGATGGCCGTCCTGTTTGCCGTAGGCCAGGACAAGGGCACTGCCACCCACTAGTTGGCCTGAAGGTTCTGTGTTTTGTTTGCTTGCCCAGGGCAGCGGACAGCCATGACTTAATCACTGTTTGTGTCTCTTCATGAGCCACTGCCTGAGACGAGGGCCATGACCTTTATTTAGCTTTGAATTGAAGATCTCCCCCGCTCCCCTCTCTCTTGTATTAATCAATTTCGGCATGGATGGGAGACCATGCAACAAGGAAAAACCAGTCTCTTCCAGTTCAGCTATGCTTTTGATATGGCATGGAATTGCCCACCTAGGAAGGTTTTGAAAGCAGCCCTCCACACAGTCCTCCTGGCCTTCCTTCCCATCTGGGGGCTGATTCATTCTGGGCAGCTCACAGGGAAAGCTAGGTGCTGATGCCCACCGACTACTAGAGTTATAGGGTTGCTCTTTCTGAGAGCAATTTATGGCACTAGGGGGAAGTAACCATCACTGCCCCCCACCCTCCCAGGGAGAGGGATTGGAAGTAATTAAATGAGACAAGTCCTTCTTGCACCATACTCTGGAGGGTAGGCCCTCTTCGATGTCTTTCTGCTTTCAAATTGAGTCCAGGGGTAGTGTTTGCAAACATGAGGTGGGATTTCTTTTTCGAGCCATAACCTGCCTTGGAATCTCATGGGCCCATTTGCAGATGTCAGGGAGGTTGCCGCTGCCTAGATGAGTTGTTAGTGTATTCTAGACAGGCTTATACTTGCTTCAGACGGCACATCTCTGCACATTTCAACCTCGCTTGCTTGCTTGTTTGCTTGCTTCTCAGATCCTCCCTCCCTCCCTCCCCCCCCCCCTCCCACCCTCCCTCCCTCCCTCCCTCCCTCCTTTCCTCCCTCCCTTCCTTCCTTCTTCTTGTCTCTCATGAGCACTTACAGTTGTGACCCAGAGTGTCCGCAGTGGGGAAGCTCTGCAAGCTTTCGCCGTGCCCATGGCTGCTTCCAATGCCACCTCGAGAACAGTTGTCCCTTTGTCTCAGCAGCAGTCATAGACCGTCTTTCCTAACACGGCACTTGCTGGGTCGGATGCTGTCCAGTTAATTGTGCAGTAATATTTGTGGATTCTGACAGGATGCATAAACTTACAGAGTGTTTTATTAAAGGACTAAGGAGGCTTTTGAATGTATCAAAACTGGTAACACTCTGTTCACGAGCTAGCAACTCATTTTGTGCATATGCTTGAATATTATCTGGGTTTGCATTCGGAAGAGCTGGTTTGTCATTTGCTGGAGTCTGGTGTGGCCCCCTGGACAGGGTTCACTGCCTCTCTGGATTCTGGTATTGTTCATTTGAATCCAGAATGATTGAACTAGGGAGAGTGTCCTGGGAGGCCTTGGGGGCCATGAGCAAAACCAGCCACTGCGAATGATGGGATGGACAGATGGACAAACTGACCTTATCTTTTGTTAGAGTATATTCTGGTGGGTGGGGGTGGGTTGTGAAGGTATATACTAACAGATCATCCTACAGCGTGCATGCACACACATATGCCTGTGCACGCACACACGTATACCTGTGCAAGGTCATTTGGGGCTGTCTTGAAGCCAGTGGCCAATTAGTGTAAGTTTATTACCTAATGAGTACTACTAACTGTCAAGTGCCAGGTTGGGCCATTTACTTATTTAAATTTTTTTCTTGTTTAACTTTTCTCTGGGAGATGATGGCATCCCTGGTTTTGTATAAATTGGGGTTTTAGTGCTGGCAGGAGAGGAAGGCATGGTGTCTCTTCAGTGTGCACAGGACAGTGCCCCAGGTTGGTGTTGGGTAGCCTTCTTGGTTGGGAGGATAGTAGAGACCACGGAGGTTTACGTTTGAATGTCTGCTCTGCTGCTTCTCTGCTTCCGTGCCTGGACTTTGCATCCTGCTATGGCCTCTGTACAAGGTGTACTACACTGAGGATTCCAGTCTTCGTCATTTCCTTGCCTTTCCCCTTTTCCACCTTGCCTGAGATGGCAGCTACTCCAGCTGTTTTGTTTCAGGGGGCAGTCAGCATGGGCGTGACTGCTATCAAGGGGCTGAGCAAAAGGGTCTTTAAATATGTTATTGGTGAGTGACATGAGTATACATGACACACAGACAGCTTTAAATAACTCAGACTGAAGGCTTCGCTACCCTTTCTCGCAGACTTAGCCTCCCCCCACCAGCCCCAATTAGAAATGCTGAGGCTTGTTTATATTAAAATGTGATCGTGAAATGAAACTGCCAGCACAGGACTCAGCAAGCTTAGATGGCTCTCTCTCCCCACTTGGTGGCTGTTTCTAGTGCCTTCCATGGAGAATGGCAAAGCAGGCGATATTCCAAGGCTTCTGGGCTGGGCCTGACCATGGGATGGCCTTTAGCAGTATCTTGACAGACTTTGGTTCTGGCCTCAGTTTCTCTTCTGAGGAACCTGTTCACAGATTTGTGAAGGCTGGTAAATTGCTCTGCAACCCATATGGTCTCTATTGTAGCTTCTGCTATTGTAGGGCGAAAACAACTGCAGCCAGTATATAAACAGATGGCTGTGCTTGTGTTCCAATAAAACTTTATAAAAACAAACAGAGAGCCAGATTTGGCTTGTGAGCTGTCTCATTGACCCCTGAACTGAGTTATTTCCAAGGCTGGTCTTTAAGCAGAGAAAGTCCTGTAGAGAGTGCTTAAATAGAAGTAGATAGATTATAACCTGAGGTATTTATAGACTAACAAAAGAATACATTGCTCACAGTAGCGAGCATGGTATGTAGTAAGCAAAACTGTTTTCACCACATTACAGTTTATTTCTGGGATTCGTGATGCAGGGATAGTGCGTCTTGATTGAAGACTGCATTCTTTATTTGGAAAAGGGCACTATTTATAAGCTGGAATTGTCGTCCTATGAGTAAGACCCAGAAAAACTGAGTAAGTTACTTTCAGTCTTCCTGTTTCAAGTGAGGTCTGAATGATCAAAACTCGTGACGTTCAGAGTTTCATCTTAAGATGGTTTTACTGTGTGTTGATGTTTCTGATTTACAGTTACATGTGTTCGGTGTGAGCTTTTAAATGCATTTTCAAATGTGCTTTCAAGGATGTCAAGTTAGACACATGGCATCTCCACAATGGATGTGGGTGATGGGAAAGAAGTTGTCCAAGCTCACACAGCCTGGGCTGGGTAGAGCCCCGGCGGGCCCTTGTGGCAGGAGCTAGGCTCTATGTGCTCTTGATAAAACTCTGTCTGCTGCTTTGGCAGTCAGCAGATTCTTATGTACAGGGAACACAGCTTATTCATTTGTCAAAAACCTCTCATCTCCAGTAATTTATTTAACTGCCTTGGTTTTTTGGTGGACATTATCTGTGTTCGTGATTTCATACATACAGGAGTGATGTATAGAGACCATTCCAAAAGCTGGCAGATGACTGATGCTCGGATATGCCAGAGCAGAACCACTCGAAAGCCTGTATCTTAACAAAGTACCCTGGGCTGGAGAAGCCCTCCTCACACATGGGTTTCCTCCTCTCCCTCCTCTCCCTCCTCTCCTCCTCCTCCTCCTCCTCCTGTTTCCCCCTCCTCTATTTCTTCCTTCTCTCTCCACTCCCCTCCTTCAAGTACCAGTCTCTTACTTACATTCATGCTAGGGATTTGATCAAAGAGGACTTGAAGCGAATGACCCCCTCTGCCTTGCTCTGGATGGAGCAGAAAGTTTCCCACTTCCCAGCTGCTCCCGAGGCACCAGGGCAGCTCCAGTGCCCAGCTCTGCTCACCTCGGCTCACTAGGTGATGCTGACTTTACAGTCCTCCAGTGAGAGCCGTGGAGGCCTCCAATTATACTTCACATGGCGAGCTGTGTAATTAGTTTGGAAGACTTATGCTTAGTCATTGGTTTATCCTAATCGGCTTTGGCTTTTCCCAACAACAAAGTGAGCTCATTTTGCTGAGCTGAACCGACTCTGCACCCTTTGTCTTGCTGTCCATTGTCTCTTTCCTTTCATTCTGTCTTACTGCCAACGTTCTGTTTCATTAGGCCTACAAGTCATTTCCAATCCAGTGGG